GTATTTTTTTATCAAATAAATGCAGACATGGTGAGCATAAGAGATTTCTTTCAAAAACATTTCAAAAATCTTCCCGATCCCAAACTTGGGAATGCTCTATGCATACAAAAGACAATGGAGAAGAAAAGCAAGGCTGAAAATGTTTTTTTTCCTTTCTTTTCTTCTGCTTCTTTCACTTTCTTTAAATGTCAGAGGAGAGAAGCGGCGCAAAACTACCGGTCTCTGATGATGCAAAGCATAAAACACTGTAAATGAGCGGCAAGCAGTGCCTCAAATAAAGAATCAGTCCCAGGAGAGTAGTCATCGAAGTGTGAGCGCAAGTAAATGAGAATGTAGAAAGAATAGATTTAATTGAAGTGGTAATGTACTGAGACTGTGTGGCATGGCCTGCATTTCTGAGTTTCTCAGAGGTATTTGTTTGCAATGCAGCACATCAAACTCGCTCTGGAATGAGGCTCTCGCGGGACTAAATTATCAACCATTGACTTTTTGTCTCCCTTTTTTCTCCCTTTTGTTTCTAGGGTAGGCTGGAGTCTGTGAAGCGTTGTGAGAGATGAGACTGTACGCCCATTGAGGGTGAGTTAATTTGGTAGATTCGGTTTGAATAAAATAAATAAATAAGCATGGTTCTTTATTCATAGCTCTTGGAAGAGTCAGAGGAGGAGCTAGAAACTATGCGGTGAATGAAAAGCAGATATATGGCCAAGACTTCAGACTGCAGTCGACTGTTTTTGCAAATTATTAGTTATGCACTGGAAGGCAGGTTCAATAAGAACAGAAGACCAGAGAATGAAAATGTGCTTGAATTATACATCAGTAAAAGACAAAGGAAATATGAAACTACCTGTGAAAGTATGCTGAGCTTGCTGTGTGCGGACTGATGTTTCAGTGTCGTTTTTGGACCCAAATAGCCGTGCAGACAGATTGTGGCCATTTTAAGGAGATTATGGGGCAGATGCCAGCATGGCATTGCAGCATGTGGCTCAAAGAGAACTGCTGCTTCCACCTTGTACAACCTTTGTACATAGGTTCTGGACTAAAACCTAGTGAGCTGTCTATGGAGGCAGCATTTTCAAGGAATATTGCAAGTCCAATGCACGTTAAGATGAATCAAAAGCATTTGTGACAAAGTTGATTGCTATAAAAATTAATTTCCACCTGGTCCTAATTTTCTATAAAATAAGCAAAAAAAAGGGCTACATTGAGGCACTTATAAAGGAAGTGAATGGGGCCAATCTGTTAACATGAAAACAATCAACAACATATTTCCTAAAATAACGAGAACAACAATACATCTGAAGCAATACACAAGTTTTAACAGAAGAATTCATGTAAGTGGCTTTTATAAAATAAGCTTCATATTTCTGCTGTTAAATCCTCCAAATACTGGCCCTGTTCAATCAAATTTTTTTAAAGAAAATGAGGAATGACTTGAACTTCATATAAGAATTTATTTTTAAGAGCGTGGGTTTCAGGAATAGAGCAACAGTGGCCTGGTTTCCATTACAGGTTTGCGCAATGCTTGCGATATTTTATAAATGTCGATAAAAAAAACATTGGGAAATGACAATGTTTCCATTAACTAATGTTACTTGACTAAAATGTAATTTTTTCCTCTCACGAGAAGATGGATGTTGGTAGGTTTATGAATATCGCAGCCACCACACTAGCCATTATTTTTAATCGAATAATAATAATAATACATTTATTTTATATAGCGCCTTTAAAAGTTGCTTTCTCAAGGCGCTTTCCAAAAAAGCGTACATAAAAGAAAACACAACAATATAAGACAATATACTATAAATTCAACAAGAAATAAATCACAAAACAATACAATAAAACTAATCAAATAAAAGCATTCCTGAAAAATAATGTTTTAAGAAAAGTTTTAAAAACAGCTAAAGAATTAACGTCCCTAATGTCAATTGGGAGAGAATTCGAGCATACGTTGAAAAGGCCCTGTCCCCCTTGGATCGTAACCGTGTTTTGGGAACAACTAAGAGACCGTGCTGAGAAGATCGTAAATTGCGAATTGGCGTATAAGATGTTAAAAGATCTGCCATATACTGTGGAGCGAGACCATGCAGAGCCTTGTATGTAAGCATTAAGATTTTAAAATCTATGCGGTATTTAACAGGGAGCCAGTGTAACGTTTTCAAAACAGGAGTTATATTTAATTTCTGTCACACATGAGATCTACACAGAGATGTACCTACATTAAAACAGGGCCTTACTGACATTTGTCATAGCACAGCATAACAACACAGAACACCAATATGCAAATCACCCAGCAATTCTTTGAATTAAACTATCACTTTTACTGCTAGATTTTGAGTGGAAAGATTCTGATGGACCAAAACTGTGGCAGCTGTGCCCTCAGGCTCATTGTCATGTCCTCAGCCAGATGCCATTCGATGGGTGAAGCCAATCCGGAGCTCTAATTAGCAGGAGCAGATAATGTCACACAGAACAGACAGATCGATACCGGGGATGAGGAACGGCAGTCGATGCCTCCCTCTCTATGCGGGACAGATTTCCGAGAAGGGACATCCCCCACGGGAACAGCTCTACTTCAGGAATTCCCAGCACTTTCTGCTTTGATGAAGACACCAGGGGTAACATGCTGCTCCAAGGACCTCGGATCTCCATTTAATGCTATGCCATCAACTCAATACATTCCTATAACAACCACCACACAATCTAAAGTGCAACTAACACTTGAAATGTAGTTGCTCTCAAACAATCATCAATTCTGGTCGTTCTTTCCATTACAAATCAGTACCTGGAATTGGTTTCAAACAGAAAAGTACCTAGAACAGCAAGCTTGGCTTGCCATTGAGTTCATACAGGTCAAATCAACAGGCATTAGTGTTAATTTTGCTTGAACATGCTGTAGCCCAGGAGATAGGCTATGTCTCGATATGAACCCTACCTCTCCATTACCTCAAAACAAACCCAGCTCGTAGAATGAATAAATGAACACAGCGGAGAGAGCAAAACAATGTTGGCTTTGAGGGTTCCCACACTCTGTGTTCCGTCTCCATGGAGATGCACTGTTGCCTGCTGGGCCCATTCAGGCAGAAGAGGAAGGCCTAACTGCCGATACACACAGAAAAGTCCAGAACAGACCAGAATAGACCACCTTTACCACAGCAATAGTAACTTATAAGCAGAACAGTGACATAATATGAGGGGATGGGAGAGTGTGCCATCTGGCACAGATTGGCATAGTGACTCTGACCCGATTATGGCAGAAAAAAACACCTTGTTCCTTTTCATGTATCCTCATTTGATCTAGGCTATCTATCTACCTACCTAAAATGTTGAAAAGCTTGACAAAAAAATGTATTTACAACAGACAGGCTTGAAAGCACAACAACTAATTTGAAATAGCATGCATCTAGAAAACAACTGCAAATTGATGGCTGAACCATACAAAAGACTACTGACCTAAAAACGAGGCTGTCAATGAACACCTAACACCAGGATCAGTCCAGAGTCAGACACACAAAAAAGGGGGGAAATCACATTTGTGACTGTGATATTTCTACCAACAACACTAATGTGTAAACATACTGTAACAGTAAGCAATGGTGTTTAAAAAAAAAACAGAGCAAAGAGTGCAGCTTTTAAGGATGAGAACAGCTCTGCTTTGTAGCTACATTTGTGAGTTTCCATATATTTTCGCACAGAATTTGTCATGGGTCTTTAATAAATGATGCATAAACACTTGTTTTCTATCATAACGTGGACTTTCGATTGACTTCTGTTGTTTTTATATTGAGGTAATCCTGTTCTCTACCCTCTTAACCCTAAAGCTAACCCTCACACAAACCGTTCTACGTATACATAAACATATGACTTGGTATGTTTACTAAGCAGTTTTCCTCTCGGAGACGTTGGGTGGTCACCATAATGTAGGGTATTTTAGGTTTTACTATACAAGAGTCTTCCTCACCGGACACTCCAGTCACTGGCGCCTTTGTCCAGACGCACCAGAACCGCACGGGAGAGTCGGTGTCTTTTGGAGCGTTTTATGCTTGGCAAACGTCGAGGTGTCCGTTTCTAGTTTTAAAACTACCCCTCAACCGGCGGTCCAGAGGCGGTCTGGAGAGGATATTCTGTGTGAAAGCACACCATCCTGACGCGCTCCCGTTTCTACCGCTTCAAACGCAGTGGGAACATACTCCTGCAGTGCAACCGTTCAGTTAGACGCCACGCAGAGACGCGTTAAACGCGGTCGCCGGTGCCCCAAGACAGTTGTCAGATTCTAAGAGTGCGAGTAACGGAATTCTCGCCGCCCGGTGGTTCCCTGTCTCACACACACACACACTCACTCACTCATTCACGCACGCACACACACACACACACACACACGAGCAGTGCGATTAATGCGGGCTTCTGCTGCCGCGGATCCCCTGCGGACCGATCAACCTGTCTGAACCACACAAACAAAATCTACACGTTTTTTTTCACGTTTATATGAAAAGCTCACGTTACCGTGGATTGAATTGGTACTCGTGCATTTTAACACTAGTGGGAATACCGAACACCTCTTTCCACTGCAGTTTCTAATGAGTGCGCATATAGCACTAATTGAGTGTATATTAGCTCTGCTCGGCAGTGAATGGAAAAGATGTTAAATACGCAAGGTCGTAGTAAATCTCAGTTGATCAGTCGCACTCAGGCAGGGCAGAACATGGATGGCAATGCAGCATACGCTGCTCCTCTCCATACGCGCCTGGACGCGTGATCACCGTCAACTGGTGGCAGTTGGTTCGGCTCATTTCCTCGCAGCTCAAATGTGTGATAAGTGTTTAATAATATCTCTCCGATTGCTTTAGATGCGTGAATTCAATCAACCGACACAACTCCATCATCGAAGCGCAGAGGGAGCTGTCCTCACGTTCCACATGGATAAGTTTCATTGCAACAGCACCGACGCCGTTTTTCTTTCTATATGTCATCGCGAACCACATCCTTAAGACAAACCCTCTTACCTTTAAACTGGTGCGTTCAGATCCCATACTTCTCATGATAAAAATCCACGCGCAATCACTCCGTATCCAGTCTCCACCGTCTGTAGAAGAGCCGTAATCCACTTTCCCATACCGGGGACTGACAGCCACAGACCTGGACTACATCCTTTCTATCGCACACCAAAACTGATGGGATTGTTGCGCTTCTTTTCCCCTTTACCCTGTTCTTTCTCTCCGCTGCTCCAGCTGAAGTTGCCTGGTTACCTCTCTCTAAAAGCGCCGCTTCCGCAGCCAATCACGAGCGCGAGTGCGCGTTAACCCGTCGCGCGCCGAGCTGTCCTGGTTTCTCGGTTTCAGGGGAAAACGCAAGGAGTGGGAGGGGTGAGCGAGAGTTTCCAATGCCAAAAAGCTAAGATGTGCAAGAGAATATAAAGACAGAAAGGGATGCGTTGGGGTATGGATGGACGATGGCACAGAAATGAAGAGCATCTGATTTGCTGAGACTTAACATACACGAACGCTTCATTTGTGCATCAGCAAGAGCGTGTAGAACAGGTGCACAGGGGGGCAAGAAAAAACCCTCAAACTGAACTAGATCCGGCGACGTAGGTTTGGATATAAAAGACTATATCGCAATAAGGCAGGCGACAAAACAGATATATTTAAAACAAAGCTCGATTAAAGCAATGACTCATCTTAAAATCTTAGAAGAAAACGGAACTGCATGGAAGTAAGTCTAATATTAGGCTATAGGGGGAGAAAACATTATTTGAACAAGCTGCTGGCGCAATAAAGAGCTGTTTCATTGATGACAAACAATATTAGATATTAGCGAGTTTTATTTTCTACAATGGATTGTAGGTAAACTCATCCAGCGCTCTTTTTGCTTCATGAAAATCTTTAAACTGTTACATTAAGTATTGTCCATCATTCTTTAAAATAATTGTTCCAAAAGCAGGTTTTTGGAACAATGCCATAGAAGAACCATTTCGGGGTTCTCCAAAGAACCTTTCTGTGAACAGTTCTTAAAATACATGTTTTCCCCCCCAGTGTGAAGAACATTTTAATAATCCAAAGAACCCCTTTTTCCACAATAAAGAATACATTTCCACAAAAATAAGTGCCAGATCCTGTCACCTGTCATAAGTAGAGAAAAAAATAAACAATTCAATAAATAAAATACAACCAAATCTGTTACCGTTATTGATATACACTTATTTACTACGTTATTTTCAGTTTATTTTAAAAAGTGTTCAGAAGATTTTGTTCAAAAACGAATTCTTAGAATCAACCCTGATGTATGCATCTGCTCTGCTGACTAATGAAAATTTAGCAGTGGGTTTACCTTTTGGGAATATTTAGCTGTTTTCTCACTTGATTTCAAAATGAAACTGTGTATTCATATCCATCAAACTCTCTTTTGGACCTTTAGTGTGCTGGCATTCTAAGTTGTTTAAAGAAAAAGCTGCCCAAATACTGGCTGGAAATTTTCAGATTTTCAGAAGGTTGTTAGGAGCCCCACTTAACCCTAATCAATGCCCATGACTAGATCTTCTGTTTATGACAGCTAATAATCTTAAAGCGGCTATGCAGTGGCCATCGGAGAGTTGCGAGTTCTATTTTAACCTTCTGAGTCACCTCATCATGCAGAGTATTGATTTTAATTCCATCCTCTTCTCAGTTAGGGGCTGCCAAGTGCACTACGCCCTTTTCACTCTCAATCACTGTAAACGGGACCAGGCAGCATCCGGCTCCGCACCGATTCAATATATCCATACATGACTACAAAACTCCAAGATGCCACCATGATCATTCCAAGGCATTAATAACAAACTCTATAAATGTACACAACACTGTTTCAGAAGAATTTTAACTGCTGTGCAACAATGCAACCTCCGTACCATTACGTCACCAAGCACTGCAGCTCATTGCACCTCATGGTATCAGGTAGCTTTGTAAATATGGGGGTCTGTAATATATCATTTGCAATGCTGGAAATGTATAAAATAAAGCCTTTTACTTGTTTAAACTGAATTAAACTCAGTGGAAGAACGTATGTGCTTTTCTACTTTCTACTGTAATCCCACCCACTGGTGGTTATTCCTCCTTTACTGTCCACAGCTAAGATGAAAATGCAATACAAATGTAGTGTTATCACTAAAATACATTCTCTCCCAAATCTTTTCCCCCTCTTTCTTGCTCTTTCTATCTTTTTCCTCCATCCACCCAAGCTAAAATATTGTATTGTTGACTGCACTATTTTATAATCTTTTATTAAATCTGTTTTAACATTTGCCTTGATTTGAAGTAAATGTCAAAAGCAGATCACAGCAGCCGAGAGGTGTAATCTTGGGTCAAGTATTGCAGGTGAAGGACATCGTGTCTGTTTTCTATCAGAAGAAAATGGTTCTTCAGAAGTCTGAAGATTTGAGTAAAACGTTTGAAAAAAATCACATTCATAATGAGTGTCTTTGTCTTCTCCAGTAAAAGTATTATATTTTATATACTATACAATTCTGTTTAAAAGTTTGAGGTTGCTAAGGGTTTTTTATGCTTTTGAAAGAAGGCTGCATTTATAAAAAAAAATATATTAATTTCTTGTTTTTCATGATACCAATTTCTCCTCCTCCTAAGTTTCTGGAGCCAACCCAATCTTTGATCTACAAATTCATATGGAACAGTAAACGAGCTAGAATTAAATCTTCATTTTAAAATTGTATTCCATGGCAAATCACTAAGAGTTTTGAGGGTCTGGATGGACGAGAATTGTGAAAATCCATAGAGATCTCAATAGTACAAGCTAATAGGCTTCAAGATCTTCCAAACAAAGACTTAAAAGGCAAGAAACTTAAAGTTAAATTTGGCACTGTAATTGCTTATTGTCTGGCAGTATGTAGACAATGTTTAAAATGGTACCTAAATTTCATAAACTTTCCCACCTATGGAATAATACTAATACATTGACAGGAAAGAATCTTTTCACATCCCCGCCTCTAAGGGAATTTGCATGCTGGGAAACATATATAGAGGGTTTATATTCCTTCCATAATTTACAGACTTTATTTGATAAATTATTATTATTATTATAATTTTTTCATTATTTGAGATTGAGTTTCAGGGAGCACATCACTACCTTCACACCCAATGGCAGGATGATTTGATTTGGTTTCACAAATGTATTACTCTATAAACAGTGAAAATGTTTGTCAATTGAGGTAGTGTGGGAAAAGGATTTAATCCATGGACTTTGTCCTGATTGGTTTACGGTGTGGTCAAATATAAGTGAAACATCTCAAAATCGGAGTCACCAATTTATCCATTTTCCAACCATCCATAGAACATATGCGATGCCATACAGCCGATACAGGATGGGATTAACGTCTGGTCCTAACTGCACTATATGTCAAAAATCTGTAGTTGGTACAATGTATCTCATGATTTGGGAATGTTCAGTAATAAATCATTGTTGGACTCAAGTTTGTTGGGATTTAGAAGAACTGATTAAATGATTGAACCTTGGTGCAATGGACAAAAGGATTCTTTTTTTTTTTTTTAGGGGAGAGGGTTCACCACAGCAAATGGTTATTCAATATGCAACATATAGTTAATATGGAATGCCCTTTACCTGGATTTAATAAAGCTAGACCAAGAACCGTACAGGCCTGGCTAAGAGTTGTAAAATCTATTTGTGACCGATTCACTATAGTAAGATATATCTCCACAGAACTGTGAGGTTCTTATATCTAAAGTATTATTATGCCATATAATGATTCACATTATTTGTAGGCAGTGCTGACAGTATTTGTTCCTTATCTCGGTTTTGTTTGGTTCTGGTTTATATTTGTGTTTTAAAAATCTAATAGAAAGAAAATCATAAACAAGTAAAAACTGCAATATTGTGAAGAAATATTACAATTTAAAATAAAAGAAATGTAAAGTTTTTTTTATTATTATTTAAAGAATTTATTGTATATATAAAGTGTAAAACAATCTACCAGTACATTGAGACAGGATATTTAACTGGAAAAAAATTAAATAAGTAAGTAAGTAAGTAAATAAATAAATGCACCTTTATTTCAAAGGGATAGTTCACCCATAAATTAAAATTTTGTGGGAAGAATGAAGATATTGATTAGATATCTGATTTTCAAACCTGGAAAAATCATGGAAATTAACAAGTCATAGATAAACCATGGACATTTCCATAGTGAGTAATTTAATTTATTTATTTATTTAAATTTTTTTCATTTTGCTAAGCTCTAAAAATGTAAATCTCTTTTAAATTATTTAAAAAAAATGTAACCAGTAGTCACAGACGGCTGGAAAAGCCTGTGTATGCTGGTATTATGTTTATTGTTTCTTTTCACATGTTGAAACAAAATCCCCCTTTAAAGGGTCAATATGTGTCACATACTATAATTACTATTCCTCCTTTTCTCTTGATCTTTCTTTGTGGTTTGGTGGTTTGTGTTGTTGTGAACTCATTCTGTTACAGAATCTCATCACCAGTTTTCCCGCCAGAGTCCATGTCCCGTTTTCAGTTCATTTCACTTCGCTCTCACTCACTTTTCTCATTTCCCCCATTTCTGCTCATCTTTTACAGCATTTTCTCTCTCCGCTATCTCCACTTGTCTTATCATTCACTGGTGGGATGTTTATTTCATTGCCTGTGTTTTTTAATGCGGATGTTTTCAACCAAGATTTTAATCCACCGCACCCCTCCCCCTCTCCACCATCCGAGCGTATAGCAGCCCATCCTTCCATTTGCTTCCCTCCATCCCTCCCTAAATGTATAAGAGATAAGGAATAAAATCAGGCCATCGTATTAAAAGCACCAGAGAAGGTCCTACAGGCTGTGACAGATATACACCAGCCAGACCAGCTTCAAGAAAACAGCTTAAGCTCAGAAAGGCAATAAAGGAATCAATATAAGCACAATCCTAAAATTCGATCAGCCCGGCAATACACATCACTTCATGCGATACTAGCCTGTCAACTCTCCTTGAGCTAAACAACTTGGCAGGCATAAACAAACAGGATTTGTTTTCAAGGTTAATGATCTTATTTGGCACCCTCACACTGAACATTTCAAGACAAATATGGTTGTTGCTCCAGAAGACTCAACTTGAGCTCTTAGTCTAATAGCGTACTCTTGAAAAAATCCAGTTTTGGTTGGATGGCATGTCAATGAGCACATTCCGACGCATGCATCTTTAGCGGTGCATTCCCATCAGGCGTGATATGAGAGGGACGAGCATCTTAACCTTCCCGCTCCC